ATGCTTTAACCACAGCGTCAACAGAGCTCCTGAAAAAGAATATGCTGTTCCTAGGTGCTGCTGAGTTGCTTCTGACTCACAGTGACCCCAGGTACAACAGAACGAAACAATGCTTGGTTCTGCATCATCCTCACAATCTTTGCTATGCCTGAGCCCATCGTGGCATTCACTGTGTCAATCCATCTTGTTGAGGGTCTTCCCCTTTTTTGCTAACCCTCTACTTTACCAAGTATGATATCCTTTTCCAGGGACCGGTCCCTTCTAACAACATGACCAAAGTATGTGAAACGAAGTCTAGACATTCTCGCTTCTAAGGTGGATTCCAGCTGTCCTTCTTCCAGTAGAGGTTTGTTTGCTTTTCTGGCCCTTCTAATTTTAATTTAAATCTCAAGGCTCATGGCTGCAGGTGGGTGGAGGGCAAATTAGCAGCCAGGCCAGAGCAATCTGATATCAGTTGACCTCAGTAAAAGGGGAAGGGCAGGGTTCAATCTGTCGTTAAGATTAGCCAATGGTTGACATTCTATTCTTCTTTTTCCTCTTTATAAGGTTTGTTGTAACTAATAAACTTCCAGCCATTTCCTTTTTCTGCAATCAAAATGGTCTCCCAAACATGCATAAAGAATAACTTTTCAGAATACACCTTATGTTTCAATTTCTTTGATTTCTATTTATTTTTAACAGGCCTAAGGAAAGGTGTGGGGGCTGAAATTAAGTTACCATACAGAAGACATTTTCAGACTAATTACTGACTTCCAGGAGCTCTGGTAGCACAGTGATTCAAGCTTTCAGCTGCTAATCAAAAGGTGGATAGTTGGAACCCACCAGCCTATCTGCCTCAGAAAGATGAGGCAAACTGGTTTGGTAAAGAAACTTGGAAACCCTATGAAGCAGTTCTACTCTGATCTAAAAGGTCTCAATGAGATGGGATCAATTCGATGGCAGTGAGTTTGGCTTTGGTGAGTCATTCCTTAGCCACCTGGCGATGGTTTTCTGAGAAAGCCCTTACTTGCCCCAGTCCACGGACATAAAGATTAATTTCCTTCAGCAGAAGCTGCTCCGGGCCTGAGGGAAAAGAGGGAGAAGGAAAATGAGTGGGCGAGGGAGAGGGAGAGGGAGGCTTCCAGTTTTTCAAGCTCCAGGTCCTGCTTAGGCAGCTGCTGTACTTAGGACCAGCAGGGATTTTGTGCTTCTAATAATTTTTGTTTTCAGAAGGGACCAGTCCTTGGAGAAGGGTATCATGCTTGGTAAAGTAAAGGGCCAGCAAAAAGGGGAAGACCCTTGAGATGGGTTGACACAGTGGCTGCAATGATAGGCTCAAGCATGGGAAGGATTGTGAAGATGCCTCTGGACAAGGCAGTGTTTCCTTCTGTTGTACACAGGGTCGCTATGAGTTGGAGCCCACTAGATGACACTTAACAACATACTTCTGTAAAAAGCTCTGGTGGTGCAGTGGTTAAAGCATTTGGCTGCTAACCAAAAGGTCAGCAGTTAGAACCCATGGGAGAAAGAAGAGGCAGTTTGCTTCCTTATAAAGACTTACAGCCTTGGAAACTCTATGAGACACTCCTACAGGGTCACTAAATTGTAATCCACTAGATGGCAGTGGGTTACACTTATGTAGAAAAACCTGGAAGTGTTGCCTCTGGGTTTGTGTGAGGCCCTGAGAGCTGCGAAGGTCGTTGGGAAAGACTAACCAATTCACTTTCGAGTGGGGAACACTCGACCAGACATGTGACCCAGGCCGCCATTTTCTCAAACCCTGCTGGCCGCCATCTTCCATTCAGACAAAGGTACCAACTCCCCACCCCCACCGTTGTCCGATGTGGACATTGTGATCTCCTGGTCACTTAAATTACGAAACAATCAAACTCAGGAATTTATAGAGGTCTGCAAACAAAATATTGGCTTACAAGTAGACTACATGGCCACAATGGCCGACTCTACCTCTTTCTCCTATAACTTCCTAGTCTCTCTCCTCCCCCTGGCTATTTCCTTACCTTAAGGAGCAGCCAGGAGGCGGGGCCAGCGTGTTAGTGAGGAAACGGGCTGCCCGAGTGAGCTGTCAATCCGAAACCCCGCCTCCATTGGGACGCACAGCCGTCAGAGCTGCCGCGCTAGGCGAGACTGGAATCCGGAAATTGAAGCTAAGGGCTGCGAACGCATTTCCTCGGCCAACCCTGTTCTCGCGCTACCTTTTCCACTCAGATCCACGCCGTAGGTGTAGGTAAGAGACTACTTTCGTCTTTTCTCCTGGTAAGCGCTTACCTGGCCGGGCTGCGTGGGAAGAATCGTCTATATGAGGTGAAGCTATAGACGCCCTCCACCCCAGAACAGAGGTAAAGACCCGCCTCCCCGCGCCCCCTGGGTAGAAGGTCCCGGATGAAAGGCAAGTCTCGCTCCGCGTGTAAAGACGCGATCTACAGCACTCGCTGGGGTTCACATGTGTACAAATGTGTAGACACCGAGCGAGACACAGTGTGTGGAGTCAGAGGAATAGAAAAGGAGAATTTATTTAAAAGATGCAAGCATCAAAGCGAATGGGCTGACTCTTAGCGCTCGAGAAATCAGGCGCGATAGTGTCAGGGTCTTTTTATCCTTCTTACTGAGCTACTCATTTCCCTTCTCGGGGTTCAAGATGTCAGCTAATTCCCATAATCAGCCGTTCCTTCCTCTCGGTCAGTTTGTTCCTTCCTTGCGGTCGTGGTGCCTCTATATGATAACTTTTTACAAGAGTCAGGCAGTAGTCATTAACTATTTTCAGAGGTCTGATAATCTGGAATTTTGTTTTTTTATATTTTCTTCGTAACATTACATTTTGGCTGAGTGTAAATTATTGTGAGATTTGATTTTGCTAACCATTTAGAGATCCCGAGGATCGAGCGAGCTCCTCTCTTCAGGATAGCGAGACTGGCTGCATGTATAGTCAGGCTTCGGTCCACCTCATAAGGCTGAGCAGTATACACCTCTCTGGGCTAGAAGACATGAAAACACACAGATCCACCTTGAGGCACCGCTTCCTCAGGCAGAGGTTTTGATGTATTCCCTCTACCCATCTCAGGCAGCTCACTCTGCTCCATTACCCACCCCTCCCGTACTCACCCTGGTGTAGAAGAGTTCAGTTTTAACGTACAAAGGAAGGCAAGATCCTCCTTCCTTTCTGATACCAAAAACCAAACCAAACACACTGCCGTGGAGTCAGATCCAAATCATAGCGACCCCTCCTTGGGTCTCTGAAGTGGTATCCCTATGGAGGGAACTCTGGTGGCATAGTGCCTAAGGCATTTGACTGCTAACCAGAAGACCGGCGGTTCAAACCCACCAGCCACTCCTCTGAAGGAAGGTTGGGCAATCTACTTCTGAAGTGATACCAAAACCCACTGCTGTAGAGTAGGATCCTACTCATGCAGTAGGATCCGACTCGTAGTGATGCCTCCTTGGGTTTCTGAGGCAGTATCCCTATGGAAGTAGATGACGCCTCCTTGGTTTTCTGAGGCAGTATCACTGTGGAAGGCTGGTGGGTTTGAACTGCCAGTCTTCTGGTTAGCAGTCTAATGCCTTAACACCACCAAACCCAGAAACTTCCCTGCCTCTCCCCTGTGTTAAATTGATGAAGCTCCACCCCCACACTCCTGCAGTGACCATCATCATTGCTGCTCCCCTAAGTGGTTGGGGATACAGGTCTTAGCCCAAGTAAAGTCATGCAGATTCCCCCTTCCCCTAGGCTAGAGTGAGCCCCAGTTGTGGCAAATCAGACTGGACTCCTCCCCCTATAAAGGGGTGCTGGTTCACTGAATTTGTGAAGTCCCAACCCCCAAAATACCCATCTCCCAGCAGCAAACAGGAATAGATCTCAACCTACAGAAACAGCTTTAACAGTGGGACTGCCCCTCAGAAGGCCCCCAGGGTAGAGGGTTTCAGATTTGTTTCTTACCTTTTGAGACAGAGATTACCCTTCACCAGCCCTAAATCCTCCGTGGATTTTAAATCACCAAGGTAGAAGGACACCAGAGACAAAACAAAACAAAAACCCAATCTCTTTGCAGTTGAATCCATTCTGACTCATGGCAACCCCGTCTACTGCAGAGTACA